TGAGGGGAACGTCTGTGTTGTTTCTTAACGAACACCTGGGCTCTTCCCAGTAATTATTTGTAAATGTTGAAGACTTTGCGTGCAAAAATTAGCATATTGGTATTGTTAAAGAAAATGGCAGCTCGCACATAAAACGTGTATCTAAACATAATCCATATACATGTAATGATTATGTTGTTCATTTATTTTCTGTTACACTCACCCAAATACAAAGATAACGAAAACGAGCACAATTGCAGAGTCAGGTTTGAAACCCGCGCGCAAATCATTGAATTTAATTGAATTTGCCTTATTTTACGTGGCGAGACTCGGGCCATCAGGCCCGGGCAATCATCCCCTGCAATGGCCGCCAGGGCCCCTTTCGATGTATCCTGTGCTCTGAACAGTCCGTCAACGGAATTGCAGGGGCGCTGGCGCCTCCCCTCGCGAACCTCGAACCTCGCGCCGCTAGAGCGCAGGACACTCGCTCACGCACGCACGCACGCACGCGCGCGCGCCCTCAGCGGTCAATGCAGCACGGGGGAAGCCACACTGCGGAGTGAATTCAATTAAGTGTTTTATTGGTACTTCGAAGAATTACAATGCACGGTCTTTTAAAATGCATTTATTCACGTTAGATACAAGATACACATTTGTACAAGATAATGCTCTCTTCATATTATAAGGGACATCTTACGGCGTTTGCCCGTATGATACCCGAAATGTATTTGACAAACACCAGTGCATCATGATTTGCCTACCACCAGGGACAAATAATACGTGTATCTGCCTCTCATGAGATTTCTTCTCGCGTGTTTATTGGTAAAAGTAATAATTTTCAACGCCCTACATTCTTTAGATATTTGGAACATTTATTTTGTGACATTCTGTATCACTGTGATAAATTAATATAGAAGCCCGTACCGTGCATTTACGGGAAATGCATATTAGTGATCCTACATCTTAAAGCAAAATTCATGAGTACAACATATCGTTCGAGTTCCAGTTAAGAGTTCGAAATATGTCGTAATGGGAGAGGAAATTCACAAAACTGGACCAGGCGTTTCTGAAAACCCATAAAATGGTCTTCTAAGCGCATTTTTGATTTCTTCCGATGGCGCAATTAGGCTTCGAGTACTTGAAGGTCTAAATTGTTACTGAATGTTCTCCTGCGGTATGCAACCATGCGTACGTTTACAGCTGCCTGTAGCAAAGTTGTGCTAGTAACGATGATCGAGGCAAACAGGAGGGGCAGGGCAGGGCGAGACGGAACAAGTTCAGGATGGACCTGGATGGTGGATCAGGATGGATCTGGGCGGTTGTGACGGATTAGGGCGAGATACACTATTGATCCATCCTGTCCACGGGATGATTGTGATAAACACTCATTAAGAGCGTTCTTAAGTGTTGTAAAATAATAAATTTGGAGGAAACATGAAGAAAGGATTCCTGTTGAAACAAAACAATTGTTAAAGGATCCGATATAACTTAAAATTTTACGAAGGAAATTTACAATATTTTTTTAATATGCCTCAAAACTGTTCTCTTTAGGACTTTTTTATCTTTCTCGCCCTTACTTCGTAAGAAAATTCATTTGAAAACGGCGAATTTTCGATATAAAAATTTGTTGTTGAACCCTATATCGAAAAAGTGGGTAAATCTTATTTCTAATTATAGTAAATTACTTGTTTTTTAACACGTTGTATAGTCAGAATCCACGTATTGTGGTCCTTGATACCGAAAAATCGATTGTCGTCAAAACGTTTGTCTGTTCGTCCGTCCGTCCGTCCGTCTGTTGACACCGCTAGCGCCAAAACCGTTCAGCCTATTTTCTCGAAAATTTATCTTCTCCAAACGATTTAAAAAACTGCATGGTTCTGTGAGTTTAAAACGAATGTTTTGACTTTGCGAGGTATTTTATATAAAAACTTCAACATTTACAAAATTTTCTGAAAAATGGTTCCAAATGTTTTGATTAAATATTGTTTTCGGATAGCGTAAGGGAGGCTTAAAAATTGCGCTGTTTTCAAGTATATTCTGTTGCAGCAACTAGTTTGAATTGCCGATAGTGGTCTCCCATATTGACATTTCCTCCTGGGACACCTGTGTTTCACGTGTCTCCACTCATTTCAAGTTATAGCAATTCTTGTGATGAAATTTAAAGCTCGCTTGGCCTACGCCAACAATAGAACTGACTATGCGGGGAATAAATGTAAATGTCATTTGAGCGACCTAAACCGTCTCCAATGAGGTTGAACCTGCCGAAGGAAAGTGTGTCAGTGACCTGGGTCGCATGGCGTAGGGAAGGCCCTTTGACCTTTCTTATTGACTCACCTGCGCCGGGCGGTTGCTGGGAATGTTCGGTTTATTTAATCTCATTGCCATTGCCACGGGCTTTTCGAACGGATCTTATATTGTATTAACAGCGAGAAAGTTAAGTTGTAGAGCACATTCAGTGGCAAATTTAATTTTTTATAAGAAATGCAATTTTTTATGATGTACGAGTTTCAAATGTTGGTCTATGATTATAATTCACAATTAGAGAGAAAAATGCTCGAACACGTGGTGTAGTCTGAATCCATGTTTTGTGGGCCCTTGACACCGAAAAATCGATTGTCGGCAAAACATCTGTCCGTCAGCCCGTCTGTGAATAACGCTAGCGGCTAAATCGTTCAGTTTATTTTTTCCAAAATTGATATTCCGCAATTGATCTGACTAATGTCGTGGGCCTTTGAATTTGAAACCGATATTTAATATTCAGGGTACTTTACATGTCGCTTCTGGGACAAACAAATCTGTTTCTTAAAGATATATTTTGAAAAAGGTCATGTACAACATTTCGAAAAGTTCAGTGATTTTCGGGTAATTTTGCGTGAAACTACGGGTGAGAAATACGTGCTGTTTTAGTACCTAGTTTGCTTTTGCTATTCCACGTTCATCTTTTTCATTTCAATTCTTTCGAAAACTAGAGAAAAGTATAAAAACAGGCCAAGAGAAGGAATTGCGAGCCGTGTGTGAGTGTGTGTGATTGTGTGTGTGAGTGTGTGTGATTGTGTGTGTGAGTGTGTGTGATTGTGTGTGTGAGTGTGTGTGTGTGTGTGTGTGAGTGTGTGTGTGAGTGAGTGTGTATGAGTGTGTGCAGCGCAACCTTTCGCAGGGGGCATTGCGCCACCGGCAGCGGCCGTCGAGGGGCGCGGAGAACGGGAGCCGGCAGCGGCGGCTACAGTCTTTTGTTTCGGCGGGAGGGTAATTTGGGGCGACGAAATGTTAGCAGCGCGCGAGGTGGGATCGATATCCTCTGAGTGGCTTGGTCGACGGCCGAATCCCATCACCCTACCGCCCCCGCACCTACCCTCGCGCCTCGACCCCCGACTGAGGTGGCTCCGGGCGTCAACTGATGTCACTGCAGCGCCTCTGACCGGGAGGTCCCAGTACTTCTGTCAATTGCAGGATTTTCAAAACTAGCTTGTCAGCTGGGTCGAATTCAGTCGCTGTCTGGAGGAGTGAATTTTACCTGTCGGCTGCTCTGGTCGGTAGTTTTCCGTGGTTTCTCCGATCAACACCAAATTAATGCCGGAGCAGTACCCTAACAAACGGGCCACGGACCGCACGTGATCTTTCCTTCCTCTTCCTTGTCCTACCTTCACCCCTTACGCACACACATACACTTATATGCACTGCACTACCTCACATGGTAGAAGAACGTCCGAGATCTTAGAGCTTGTCCCGTGTGCCTCGCTGGTGGGAGATACCAGGTTGTGGAAAACCCCAGTATCCGACGGTAGGGCGGCGCCTGATCTCACCTTCCAGCTGGTGCAGATCACAGCCCCGCATCTCCTGAAGAGAAAACCTACACTACACGTACGAGACTAATAACCTTATCATTTGTCGCACGCGGAATCACATACTCAATCAGTCTCCCCTGGCCCCCGCCACCGCCCTCGCTGTCGCACCCACCCGCGGCACAGCGCTCTCGAACCCTAAAGTACATGCACAAGTCGGATTTCAGGTTTAGTCGTTCATGTTGTCCATAGGTAAGTGAAATTTCTAAGGACGTCTAGATCATGACCCTATACAAGTTTTAATTCAGCTTGTAGGACGAGTAATTGAAAATGAGAACCTCAATTAAACGAATTGCGTTTCCCTTGATGCATCTACCGTTGAGTCGACATTTTTCTTTCCGCTCGAGATGGAAGACGAGAAGAGGGGGCGGGATGGAGTTCCAGTGTCGGAGTGACCCCGTTTGACAGCCAAGGGCCCAGGGAGGAGAGTGCCTTCGGTACAGGAAGGGTGGCCACCTTTCCGTGTTTCAGAAGTAATCCCCGGGCGCCGGGTTCTTATGGAAAATATTAGGGTTATATTACGCGAGCAAAAATATACCGAATTGTTTGCTAGAAGTACGTAATGTGTTGCGCATGATAGTGGTATATGCCTTTGCCCCATACGGTTATCCACATTATAGAGCGGGGGAAAAACATTTCACATTAAAATTCTTTCCCCTCATAAAAATTATTATTACCACAAATAATAATTTTAATGTACAAAATTTCAAATTCGCGGCCAGAGGCACTGCATTGACTTTAATTGATGGATACTTTGGCTTCCGCGGCCGGTGTTATTTGATACTTGGCTGTCCGGGTTGAGTAGTTTCGTTGCCTTATTTAGAGCTATACTCAGTATAACTCTGGAGAAAGTCACAACGACCAAAACGACAGACTGTGATACGGCTCATCCGGGGCAGCCAAATTTCAAATGGCATCAGTTGATGATCCGAGCCGCATCAACAGGTACACCTTTGGTCCACGAGTTGTTTCTTAGGCCGTAACGTACGTAAGGGAAGCGTTTTGAGCTTTCTGTTACACATTTTGGGGGTTTAGCTCTTGGTGGTACAGAATATCAAAAAGGAACTGAATCACCACTGTGTGAAAAATTAAACTGCCTATTCCGCCTCTGTTTCCGTGTGCCCTCCAGCTTGTGAGCAGGGGCTGAGCAGTGTGTGTGAGCTGTCTGTCGTTGTGTTTCAGAATGACGAGCCGCCCGAGATCACGTACTGCGTGGTGGACCAGGCGGGCACGCTCTCGCTGCACGCGCTCACGCCCACGCAGCCCATGCCCGCCAGCGACGAGCTCGACGCCAAGTTCGCCGAGCTGGTGGTGAGTCAACGGACGCGGAATTACAAAATGAGAATGGGAAACTGCCAGCAACCGACTGCAGTGTCGATCATCTGCGCATGCAGAAGATGCATGTAGAAGATTGATAGTGCTTTCGATTGTTTTAATGTTCGAGGGTTCAAAAACACAATAATATCGTTATCGTTCGTTTTATGCACTTGAAAAAAGTCAAAAATATTGACCGAAATGTTTTGATGCCAAGTGTTTCATTACCAGGGCTCTGATTCTGATGACCTAGAATTTCTGTAAAAATGACGTATAAAATGATTTAAAAGAGCAAAATGGCATATAAAATGGTTTTAAAAGAAGGGAAATGTGAGCTATTTTCTTAAATGCTAAAAAAATTGTAAGAAAATGTTTATTTACTAAATAAATCGTACAATTTTAAATAAAATTTATTTATATAAAATTACATTCAATACAAGGTCTCTTATTTTAGGAGGAAATGTCTATGATGTATTGCTCCGATCCTCCAACCGTCAATTTTGAAACGTCGAGAAGTTACCGAAGGCCCATGCAGTTTTGAGAATTCTAAAAACAAAATGCACTGCAGCAATGAATTTCCTCATAAACTGATGATACCATTAAAAACTTTGTTGTTTAGTCTCAATATTCATGAAACATTCACTAACAAAGAAAACACTAAAAGGAATCAAAATGTGTAAGAATTACAAAAAGGACGCAGTGTAAAAAAAGTTCGAAAATTGATAAATGTCAAAAAATACCCTATAGCTATACATTTTATCATCTATATGTTGGATGAACATTGATTTACAAGTTAGCCGCGTCTTGAATGCACCAATGAAAAAGATGACGTCATCAAAATATGAGCCCTGTTCATTACTGAATAAGGTTATTTGTCTGGTAATTGCCAGTGAACTGATTTATATTCACTATTGCAGACGTAAATTACAACTTATTAAACATTTGATATTCTTTCCAATTACGCATTTGTTTTTATAATTTTAACTGCATAATTCAGTAAGACTTGGATTAGTTATGGGTTGTAAGCTCAAATACGAGATGTTAAAAGAACATTAAGGAAGAAGATAATGACACACAAATTTCTAGGTAAGCTAATAGTGAGAATGTAAATGAATATGTGGATTACTACAATATGAGGCTTTTCGTGTTATGCTGCCAGTCTACTCGTCTACATGCCCTAATTTTTACTTACTTTCCGATGTTGTTTCCCAGCATAAGTAATTGCAGGTATTACGGCGAGTACTTTCCGTAAGTTCGAATCCTGTGCGATAAGTTCTTGTGTTTAATGCCTTTCCTTCACGAATGTGCCTCATACTCGTGTAAGCCTCGCTGTGAATGGGGACATTCTTTGTGCGTGGGCACATACGATTTCACTTGCTATCGCATCATTTCAATAAGAAAGGAATTCCCAAGTGGACACGACTCTGGGACCGGAGTTTATGAAACCCATTTCAAGTCACCGTGAACAAGCTGCGGGGCAAATAATCCTCCCGTTCGTGTGAGCAGTTGAAAAGCGAGGACGGATTTGTGAGTAGCGAGGGGGGGGGGGGGGATAGGAAAGCCAGCGGCGAAGAGGAGCGAATTGATCGAGGCGCTTTAATGGCGATGTGAATGCGGCCGTGGAAGTGTTGCAGTTGAATCTAATGGCGTATTGAGCTTTCCGCCGAAAGTTACGACACTGTTTTGGGCGTCAGGTGCGTGCGGCGCGCCGGCGGAGCCCTCTAGCTGCTCGTGTGGACGAAGCGGTGTCACGTGAGCAACTTGGAGAAACACGTGGCCGACGGGGGTGTATTTTGATAGATAGACTAGCTATCTTTGTTAAATAGTATGTAACTTAGTATCTTACATTCACACCGTAGTGTGTTGGTTTATTTTCATTCATTCATTATTTTCTATTTTGTAAATTGACCCCGCAAACAATCCTCCATCCAACTCGGCGAGAAGAAACATAACTTTAATTTATAGAATACTTCGTGGAGGACGGAGGGGCAGTGCCTCCAACCTTCAGCCTACTTATAGGAATCTCTCTATATTCCTCGTTGCAAGTTTCTAACAGCACTACCATTTTTTTGCACCCAAATCTTTAGTGTTCATTAGAAGTTCTTGATTTGGTAGTAGTGCTACTAGGAAATTAGATTAGACATACGCACTAAATATAGAAAATAAAATTTCCGAAGCTGCTAAATTGTAGTTTTCCACCGTATCCCGTCGTATCCGGATGTTCATATGAGAACTGTTTCTTTTAATTTCGTTATTATTTTTCTATAAAATGTTAAATTTAATGAATACAAAAATTGTTCTGAAGGTAGAAAGCAAAGTTTATAAGAGTAACTCGTGAGCGTGCGTGCGTGCGTGTGTGTGTGAGAGTGTGTGTGTGTGTGTGTGTGTGTATGTGCGCGCGTGTGTGTGAGCGTGTGTGTGTATGTGTGTGTGCAAAGGTGAAGCTGAAGGGGGCGGGCGCGCGCCTGTTGCAGGAGGAGCTCGACCTGACGGCCCCCAACAAGGCGGCCATGCTCAGCCTCCCGCCGGAGAAGAAGTGGCAGATCTACTGCAGCCGCAAGAAGGTGAGACGAAGGCAAGAAGGTCAAAGGTCACAGAAAGTAGATTTTTGCAAACTTATTTAAAGGGTTATGAGAACTTATTCAGCATAAAATTGCCTCCAAAATGGGTATATAAAATGTTTTTTAAATTTTATCAGGCCAGTAAAACTGCTTTCTATTTTAATGCAAATAACTCAAATCATCTCGTAAATAACTTAACAGAAATTATGCATTTTAAACATTCATATATTACATTTATTCTTTATATAAAACAAAATAAAGCAAGCCCAACAGGTTCCTTATTTTTGTTAACTGTTTTTGAAATAATGTTTTTTGTATAAACTATAATTTTAGTGTTATCAATCGTTGTCAAGATATCGCGCTGAAAGGTTGAAACACACGTTTGCATGGAAAATCTTGGAATCCCAACAAGGTGCGAACTGACCGAATGCAGCGAATCACCAGGTCTCATTTTCATTGAACTCTGAATTTTCGAATATTGCAAAAGTTAGAAATAATGGGAGAAAGTATGTGATTTTCTATTTCCACTTGTTTAAAAATGTGTTGGACATCATTATTTACATGAAGTTCTAACATTGAGGGATGGATTCGATTGAAAAATAAATATTAGATGTTAATATTGGGTGTAGAACAGATAGACAATAAAAATGCACCTTTGCAATTCCACACATTTAAGAAGTAGCCACTCGTAAAAGTCACTCAAAAAAAAATGTAGAAATTATCTCGATAACTCTCCGAAACGGGTCAATTATATCTTACTGACGTATTTAGCAAATTTCAGCCCAAAAACTTTTAATCTCAGTTATGTGTAACATCTGTACGTACATACAGACAAACATTCTAATTTTCGGGTACAAAATTGGCATTTGCCTTGCCACCTGCTCAATCTTAACCTGTGTACAGAGTAACAAATGAACCTTAAGCACAGATTTACTGACCATAATTGTAGGTCGTATTGTTGAGGTGATTCCAATGCTTTTCCTATCTGTAGTTTAACACATACGTACTACAGTGTAAGGAAGAAAAGTAACACTATTATTAAAGACTATGTGAATAATGAATTGGGTTTGTATTATATCTTTAAACGTGTATCGGGAGTGATGATTGTGAATTTGGCTTTACGGCATTTTTATCTTTGTTGCAGGATCAGGAAGGAGTTACAGATCTCTCTCACAATCCGGAACATTATATCCAAAGGGTTCAAGCAATTTCAATGGTGAGAGGTTTAATCCACTTTAATAAAATATAAGTGTCTATGTGATTAAAAAATAATTGCATTTTTATAAACCCATATGGTTATTTATGATTTAAAAGCCCATTCAATTGTTTATTTATCTCGGGAACGGCAGAACCGATTTTGATAAGGCTCTAAGAGGGCATAATGGAGTTTTTTTTCATATTATTTACTATTACGTAAATAATGTTCGTATGATTTCTTATATAAATCTACTATTTTATTCTTACTAATGAAATAATTTATTTTATTTTCAAAATCAAAATAAGATATCAATTAGTGCCTACATTTTCATGAAAACTTTCCGCGTCCTTCTTGTCCAATCTTTAAATCATATTTTAAGCAAACTTTCGGATTTTCGAGAATACCTCGATAACGGAGAACAAAGTCACCGAATTGGATCAGACATCTCCTAAAAGCCCCTTTACACGGCCTACTAAATGTATTTTGATTTATTCGGATAGCGCAATTAGGCTGTGAGTAATGGAAGATTTACATTGCTACTAGATGTTTTCCGGGAGTAGTAAGCAACTCTGTTTACAGCTGCCCCTAGCAACGTAGTTTGTGGCGAACATATGTCAGGGATGGGGTTGGGCGAATTGGGGCAGGAAGGGGATACAAAACATTTATTCACTTTTCTGACTAGACTATTGTGCTAAACAAAAATACCGGGGCAATGCAGCTAGGAATCAGTAAAAAGTCCTTAATGTATTTAAAATGTCTCTCAGGAAAAATGTGCACAGTCACAGAGAATCTGTAGAAAGTCTTAGATGAAGCAATTTTTGGTAATGAATTCTGGGTCTAAATAACGGATATTTCAGTT